CTGGCGTAGAAGCCGGCCGCCAGGCGCGCGCGCACCGAGGGCGTCAGCTCGAAGCCCGTGTCCGCCATCCCCAGCGGCTCCAGCACGTTCTCCGCCACCCAGCGCTCGTAGCCGCCCTGCGTCGCGTGGGCCGCCAGTACGTGGGCCAGCAGCGAGAAGGCCAGCGTGCTGTAATGGCACCTGGGGGAGAGGAGCGGGGCGCTGGCGGGGACGTGCGCGCATCTCCCCCCAGAGCCCTTCCCCAGGACCCGGGCCTCGCCAAAGGCGCCCCGCAGATGGACCCGCCCAGAAGGGACTTCAGAGATCACAGGAAGTAACTCTCTCTCCATTCTACATTTGGGGAGACGGGCCCAGAGAGGAGCGGGGGAAATTGCCCCAGGTCACATGACAGGTTGGAGGAGAAACGGGTACGTGGGAAAGTGGAAAAACAGATTTTATCAGCCCTTATCTCATGTGTGTGTGTGTGTGTGTGTGTGCTGATACTAGAGCTTGAACTCAGGGACTGGGCACTGAGTCTGCCAATCAAAGCTGGTGCTCTACCACTTGAGCCACACCTCCGCTTCCAGCTTTTTTGCTGGTTAATTGGAAATAAAGTTTCCTCGGACTGGATGGCTGGCTTCCAACCGCTTCTCAGCGGCCGCTTCTCAGCCCCCTGAGTAGCTAAGATTACGTGTCTAAGCCACCAGTGCCCAGTGGTCCTTACCCTGAAAGATGATTTAATTTATCAAATGGAAAATTAAAAGTCTCACACTGTGGGGAAAGGGGATGATAATGATGATGTAGCTCAAGGATAATGATGATGTAGCGTCTTCTTCCCGTCTGCCAGTCTGTGGCTTTCACAGCTAACAGATAGGAGCAGAGCAGGTGTAGTTTCAGAAGCCTCTAGAAGGCTCAGGAAGGATGCAGATTAACACCCTACAGGATGCTCCTGAACTCTAGGCTACTCTAGGCTAGCCACCTAGTTCTTGCCAGTGAAGAAGGCGAGCCTCCCCAAGGTCTCAGCGAATCAGAGCAGAGCTGGAACAAGCATCAGAGCCTGCAGATGCTCAAGTATTGGCTCTCTCTGCATCACCTGGAGCCTTGTCTTTAAGGGAAGGGGGCTTGAAGGCCAGCCTATGGAGCAGCAGAGGGGAACTTGGAAAAGGGACTGCCAGGTAGCAGACTGGCAAGGAGCCTCTGAAGCAGGGGAGTGCCGGCTGCCCTTTGCCAGCCACACAAGTCAGGGCTCCCAGACTTCTCTGTTCATCTGTCACCCAGTTTTTTTACTCCTGATCTCCTGAGCATCCCATTTTTTTCCATCATAATAAAAAAAATCTGTATTTGTGTATTGATTCACTCTGTCTCCTTTGTCAGAATGAGGAGAGACTTGGTTGAGTGTCTTGTGGGGTGTGTTTGCTGCTGTTCATTAGTGCTTAGCACACTTTGGCAGAGTGGGTGCTTGTGAATGGAAGGAACATGAGACTGCAGCAGAACTGGATCATGACCCCAGCAAGCCCACACCTTGCTGTGTGTTCCCCTAAGGAGGCCTTTGTCCTGTGGCTGCCAGATGGGGTTGTGTTCACAGATTCCCAAGGTCACCCCCACCACCCAGAACTTGCCAAGCAGGCTTGGCTCCTCAGGAATGCCAAAGGTGTGGCGGGGCATTGGACACAGTCCTCACCTGGTTCCTGGGTCAGCCACCAGCACATCATCCTTGAGCAGACTTAAGGCCTCCTGGGTGCTGCCTCTCCACAGCAGTGAAGTGGAGCGCAGCCTTCTGGGGAGCCCTAGGGAAGAGCAGAGGTTGGACCCATGAGGCCTTCCTGACCCAGTCCTGCCAATTCTTGTCCCAGCTTTTGTCTCCTGACACCAGCTTGCTCCTGTCCCACCACCTCATCAGCTATCTTGGCTTCCTATATCTTTATTATTATCATCTAAGTTATTTTAGTAAGTAAATCGTTCACATGATTCAGGATTCTAAGAACACCAAAGGGTGTTCAGTGAATAATTTTCCACTAACCCTTCATTCCAGTCGGTCATTCCTTCCCCCCAAGGCACCTGCTTCGATCTCTTCAGTTCCCATATCTAAGTTAGTGTATATTCATGTACATGTCATTACACATACATGTTGTATATGTGTAAATTGCTATTTTTATGGAGCATACAATATATGCTCTTTTCTATTACTTGATATTTATTTTTTTGTTGGTCATGGGGCTTGAACTCTGGGCCTAGGTGCTGTCCCTCAGCTCAAGGCAAGCACTCTATCACTTGAGCCACAGCACCACTTCCGGTTTTTCTGGTAGTTAATTGGAGAGAAGAGTCTCATGGACTTTCCTGCCTGGGCTAGCTTTGAACTGCAATCCTCAGATTTCAGCCTCCTGAGTAGCTAGGATTACAGGCATGAGCCCAGTGCCCAGCCTCTACTACTTGACTTTTATGTTCAATTATTGATTAGAATAATTGTAGAAAGAGATAATATATGCTTAAGAACATATATATTAAGAGCATATATATTAAGAGCTTTTCTTCTACTTGATACTGCATTCTTCCCCCACAGCAGTACTGAGTTTTGTTTTTGTTGTTGTTGTTGTTGTTTTGGTCCGGTCCTGGGGCCTGAACTCTGGGCCTGGGCTCTGTCCTCAGCTCTTCAGCTCAAGGCTAGGGCTCTACCACTTGAGCCACAGCGCCACCTCTGGCTTTTTTCTTTTTGCGTATGTGGTGCTGAGGAATGGAACCCAGGGCCTCAGGCATGCAAGGCAAGCGCTCTACCACTGAGCCACCTTCCCAGCCCAGTACTGAGTTTTGAAATCAGAGCTTTGTGCTTGTTAGGTGGGTCTTCCACTGCTAAGCACCTAGACTATAATCCTCCTATTTTTTACTTCCCTTTGTAGCTAGAATGACACATACATGCCACCATGCCCAGCTTCTTCCATTTAGATGGAGTTTTGCAGAGTGTTCTGTCTGGGCTGGCCTGGAACATTGATCCTTTTGCTCTTAGCCTTAGAATAAAAGTGTGCCACAGTGCCCAGCTATTGGTTGAGGAGGGGCCTCATAAACTTCTGCATAGCTGGCCTCAACTCACGATGCTCCTGATTTCACCTTCCCAAGTAACTAGGATTACAGACTTAAGCCACTGTTTTCAGTTGTGTGTTTAATTGAAATTAAGAGTCCCTCAGCCCAAAATGGCTTCAAATAGCAAACCTCAGATCTCAGCCTCCTGAGTAACTAGGATTATAGGCATGAGCACCTGGCTACATCTTAAGATTCTCAGGACCCTCTTATTTGGCCCATCATTTCTGTTGCCATCCTTTGTCTGCCTGTTCAGTAGGTTGTTCGCCTCTCGTTGTACTTGTAGATGATCTTTACTTACAGGGGCCATTAGGTCTTCACTATAGTCTTGTCTACATATGTTAATGTTGCTGTCGATGTGACACTCAGATCCTGACCTGTCACCTTGGCTATAACTGCGAACCAATTTCTGCACTGATTTCACCTTGGCTTTTACCTCTGAGATCTTCGAGCCCCAACCCACACCCCAAACCCCACTGGTGGGAAGTAGAGTGGATCAGCAAGCAGAGCAGGGATGGTTAATTCTGGGACCCACCTGAGAGCTGGCTGGCCATCCTCCGGAGGGTGACCGGTGAAGGCCTCGGGACTCGGCCCACCTCTTCCAGCTCTTCCATCAGGCCCTGTGATTCAGGGGCTGATGCTACGCCCAGCGGGTTGTTGATGGTGAAGGTGCTAGCGTAGCGCTCCAGAGGGTCATCCAGGGAGGCCACGAGGCCTTCTTCCCACAGGCGGTACAGCATGAGGACTGGAAAGATCTTGGAGATACTAGAGATCCTGAGCAGGGTTGGGGCACAAAGGGTGCAAGATGACCTGCTGGCCCCGAAGCCCACTCCTGTCCCTGTGTCTCCAGCCTCTAGCCTTCTAGTATTTTAGAAGAGCACCAAATTGGGGGCTGGGAAGGTGGCTCCGTGGGAAAGTGCTTGCTTGCTTCACATGCGTGAGGTCCTGGGTTCCATTTCTCAGCACCACGTAAACAGAAAGAGCCAGAAGTGAAGCTGTGGCTCAAGTGGTAGAGTGCTAGCCTTGAGCTGAAGAGCTGAGAGACAGTGCTCAGGCCCAGAGTTCAAGCTCCACAATCGACAAAATAATAAATACATAAGAAAAGCATCAAATTTACCCCAGTGCACAATCCCCTGCTTCTGTGGGTCTGCTTTTTCCATGTTCAACATGCCAAAGGTGGGGCTGGGTGGTATGGACACCCCTCAGCTCCTACTCCATGCCTGACCCTGCACCAGATCATACCCATTCTGGGGCAGACCTGGGTTGGTTCTGTCCTCTGCCTCTCCTTGGCTGCAGGGCCTTGGGCAAGTTACAAGACCTTCTGTGAGAGCTTCACTGTGTGTGTGCAGAGTGCTGCCAGCACACCGGCAGGTGGTGGGCCTCAGTAGGGATGGCAGAGAGAATTGTGGGCCCACTCCTGGCACCAAGCTGATGCAGCACAAAGGCCAGTTCCTTCCCGCGCCCTGTCACCCTGCAGTGTCTCAGGAACAAATGTACCCACTGCACACATGAGCACCGAGGACCTACAGACAGCTTCCGGGAAGGGAGCTCTGGGTAGCAGGGGACAGCCCATCTGGCTTCCACCTGGGCACTGCCATCAACCCTCAGGGACCTGACATGGGGCAGGAGCTGCCTAGGACCCCTCAGAGGTACCCGGGAGAGGTGGGAAGACCACCAAAACACTTTTAGTTGATGAGGATGGGCTGACAGCTCTCCAGAAGGGATCCCTTCCTGACCACCTGTTACCCGTGTGGTGTGACAGTGGGCACTCACTGGACCTCTCTGGGTCTCAGTCTCCACTTCTATAGAATTCTCTCTTTTTTTGTATCAGAGACAGGAACTCAAACACGTTATCTGACTTTTTCACTCATTGGTTGGTGCTCTACCATTGGAGTCAAGCCTCCAACCCCAAAGGGTTGATTATTACTTTTTTTTTTTTAAGAATTCTCAAGACTTAATTATGGGCCCCAACAGCTTGGAACTCTGCCATGACTCAAGTCTTCCTGCCTCCTGGATCCCTCTTGGCCTGCCATCCTCCTCCCCCCTCCACCAACCCCTAGAGGTTGCCCAGCTGACCGGTACATGGTGTACTCATTGGGGGTCCCAGAACTCGGGTCTGAGCCGTTCTTCCTCCCGAAGTTGCCAGTCCAGAGCACGGTGTCATTGTGGATGACCACTGCAGACATGGCCGCCAGGCCAGGGGCAGACATTGCCTGGCTCAGGAGCTCGTCCACCTTGGGGAGAGAATGTGCAGTGGTAACCCGATGCCCCCTCCCCGCTGGTCATTCTGCTCATGGCCCGTTCCCATGACTGTACTGCACCAGGCACCCTGTGGGCCTCCAGCCCCAAGCTCCCACAGCATACCCCAGGGTCCCTGCTCCCCTCTGCATGGATCCCCTTGAGCCTGTTGGGTACTGGGGCTTCCTAAAGAGGTAGCTTGCTCAATGAGGAGGGAAAGCTTAAAACTACTGATTGAGTCAAACCTTGTCTGCTGCCAAAGAAAAGTTCCCAGAAACCTAGTGAGCCCTGGGTGGAGTGAGGTACTGCATCCAGAGGGCCTCAGGCCCACTTGGAACATGTACTGAAAAAGCCTTATGCTGGCTGAGGTGGTCACATCTGTGTTCCCAGATGTGATTGGTGGGGTGATCTTCATGGGGCTGATGCAGGAGGACCATGAGTTCCAGGTCAGCCTGAGCTACAAAATAAAACTGTCTCAAAAAGCAAAAGCAGAATCAGAATACTAGCCTGGTTTATTTTCAGTGATGAAGAATAAGAGTGATGATGAGAGCTAACACTGAGAATGTTCTAGGCATAGCTGAACACAGTGGCACACGCCTATAATCCCAGTGACTTGAGAGGCTTTGGGGATCAGGAGGATAAAGTTCAAGTCTAGCCTAAACAGTATATTTTGTAATCCCAGCTATGTGGTAAGTTTCAGGTAGGAGGGCTCAAATCACTGCTGGGCCCAGGCAAAAATACAAGTCCCGCTGGGCGCCAGTGGTTCATGCCTATAATCCTAGCTACTCAGGAGACTGAGATCTGAGGATCACGGTTCAAAGCCAGCCCAGGCAGGAAAGTTCATGAGACTCTTATCTCCAATTAACCACCAGAAAACCAGAAGTGGCACTGTGACTCAAGTGGTAAGACACTAGCCTTGAGCTGAAGAGCTGAAGGACAGTGCCCAGGCCCAGAATTCAAGCCCCAGAACTGACAAAAAAAAGTCTCTATCTGAAAAATAACTAAAGCAAAAATGGATTAGGGATGTGACTTAAGTGGTAGAGCACCTGCCTAGCAATGGAAAACCTTGGGTTCAAATCCAATACTGGAAAAGTACCAGCAGGGAAGAAAAGAAAGATTAGAACCCCATGCCCACTGCAGCCCCAATTCATGATCATTTGCCAGATATGTTGCTGGCCAGTTTACTGTTCTGAGCTGAATCTGCTGTCTAGCTTCTACCAGTACTCTCTTCACCTCTCTGAGCCTCAGTTTCCCCCATGCGGACAGGAATTCACAAGGCATGCATGGAGAACAGTAACATGACATGCACCTGGCATGCCTTCAGTAGAAGGCAGCTGGGGCTACTTTTGCTTTTCCTTATTATTATGACCCCTAGATGCACACAGCACCTGCTGCTCCCTGTCCCCAAAGCCTCTCAGGTGTTTGTACACCAGCCCCCATGCACCTCTCAGCCCTCTTCCCATTGGCTATTCATCTACAGTTCCAAGTCTCCCCACCAGGCTGCAGTCATGGACTTCCGAGCACGTCTGGAGATGAGGGACACACATGAGCAGGGTCTGACCATGACGCAGCAGCAGCAGCAGCAGCCTGAAGTGGTACAGGTTGTTCTGGGGAGGTGGAGGGGATGTATGGTGTATGCTCATATTGGAATGAATTCTCCTCTCCCATTTCATCTTTGCCTGCTTTCTGCCTACAGTCACTTAGTCTTCTGCGTGAGCCATGTGCCTTTTCTCTGCCTCTGGGCCTTGGTAAATGCTGTACTGGCTGGAGCAGACCCTTCCATCCCCTGAACTCCACACATGTCTCCTGGGCGACTTCTGCTTGTTCCATCTCAGCCTAAACACCGCTTCCCCACAGTCCTCCTTGACTCCAAGGCCACATCCTAGGCCCTCACAGTCCCCTGAGTTCTACCTATCCTCACTCTTGCCCACTTCCCCTCCTGAATTATTTCTAGAGCCCTACCTGATCTCTCTCTCTCTCTCTCCCTCCCTCTCTCTCTCTCTCTCTCTCTCTCTCTCTCTCTCTCTCTCTCATTGGATGGGGGCCTGAACTCTGGGCCTGGGCACTGTCCCTCAGCTCTTCAGCTTAAGGCTAGCACCCTACCACTTGAGCCATAGTACCACTTCCGGCCTTTTCTGCTTATGTGGTGCTGAGGAATTGAACCCAGGGCCTCATGCATGCAAGGCAAGCACTCTACCACTGAGCCACTTTCCCAGCCCAGGCTAGTAGTTCTTGAAGGTAGGTCATTCCTTCTTCATGCTCTGCCCCTGATGCCAGCATGGAGTGGATGCTCAAGAAATGAATGGATGTGGGCTGGAAAGGTGGCTCAGTGGTAGAGCGCTTGCCTTGCGTGCCTGAGGCCCTGGGTTCGATTCCTCAACACCACATAAGCAAAAAGAAAAAAACCGGAAGTGGTGCTGTGGCTTAAGTGGTAGAGTGCTAGCCTTGAGCTGAAGAGCTGAGGGACAGTGCCCAGGCCCAGAGTTCAGGCCCCACGACTGGACCCCCACCCCCAAAAAAAGAAATTGATGGATGGATGGATGAGGTTGAATACCATTCCAGCCAAGAAGACACGTTCCTTCCCTCTCCCAGGCCTCCCCTGTGCTCCAGCTCATCACTGACCTTCTCCAGAGCCTCCTTCAGCACAGGCAGGGGGTGAGCCAGCGGCACAGGCTCTGGATGCCGAGGACACATGATCGCAGGGGTAGAGGTGGTCTCTGGCTCTGGAGAACCTGGAGGGAACATTCCATGGCAAATAGGGGCAGAGATCTGAGGTTACGTTAGAGAAGGGTGCCAGAGCCATGCCTGGCCAGCAAGTCTGACTAGATCTCGAGATATAAGGACTGACCAGAATGGGCGGGGGGGAGCCCAGCCCTCGCGTTTTCGCCATTCAGGCCTCTCGGTCTCTCCCTGGCTCTCACTTGGCAATACCTTCTGCGACTTGGGGCAGGCTCTGCCCTGTCTGTCTGCCTCTCCTGTCCTCACATGCTTATGTTTTGGGTGGAAAAGTAACCTTGGAGTAGCATGCCTTGGTGCAGGCACAACTTGTTCTGCATCATGGTGGTGGGGCAGTGCATCCCTTTGTCCACAGCAGGGCTGCCACCAGGCCCCAGGGGTTGGAGCCAAGGGTGTGGGCAGGCCAAGCCCCCAGACCTGCTTTCCCCTCTAAGGCCAGTGTGGGGTAGTAAGGGGTGTGGGGACCATCAGAGGAGCTACAGTCCTCCTCAGCCCCACCACCTGTGTGACTCCAGTTACAGTCCTCAGACTCAGGCATCGGAGCCTAGAGAAGCTGTACAAGTGGCCCGATGCACAGTGGGACAGGAGCACAGAGGCGGCCACAGCTCCAGGGCTAAATCTCCGGTCCTCCCTGCTGCCTCCGATTGGTGGCACTTAACACAGAGCAGGACGCAGGGGTCGGGGGCACCGGCAGCGGCGACCGCACTCACCTGCTTGCAGCTTGGGGAGGTGATACTGCCACAGGAAGCAGCCTGTCATGGCCACGGAGAGCAGGAAAAGGAAGCCGCTGCTGGCCGGGAAGATCCATTTCTTGCTAGCTTTCAACAGGCGCAGCTGCCGGCCACCCTGGAGGAACAAGGACCCCAGGCCCAGTCCAGTCCCCCAGGGAGTCAGGGGAGGGAAGGCAGGCTGGGACACACACACACACCCCGCCTGCTTCCTAAACCTCAGATTACACAGATCTCATGAGAACCCCCAGCTCTGAATAAATGCCATACCTGTACCCTTAAGGGCCCTTCTTAGAGCCAGCCCTCCAGCAGCCCGCTCTGGCAGCTACGTGCCCAGTGAGTCACCATTAGACCCACCAAAATCACCTGCAGGAAGCCCTCCCGGCTCTGCTTACCCTCCACCTGGGCACCTGGCACAGTCTGCCAGCTGCACAGGGTGTACTTGGACTGTCCCAAGGGCAGAAGAGCCATGCCCCTGCTGTTACCCTCCCTGACAGAGAGCTCCCGCGCCCGGCACTGGCTCGCTGTCCTAGGCCCTGTTTGCCCTGTTTACAGGTACATGTTGGGGGTCTTATGTGAGTCCAGGGGCCTCCCACCTGCCCCTCCATACTTTTTGTAGCCCCTGCCCTTTCCACTCCTAGGGTCAGTGTTTTTGAGCACCTAGCAGGGCAGCACAAACTCTTAACAGGGTCAGTCTGCCACACTGGTCGTGGCAAGTTTTGGAAAGTTGTCCCATTGGCTGCTGCAGAGAGCAGGGGCAGAAATGGGGCGACCGGGAGAAGGGGCAGAGGTGGAGGGAGGCAGAAGGCTCGGTGGGAAAAGCTTGTGGCCACCCAGCCCTGAGAAAGCCACGTCGAAAGCCTGGACCTTACAGCCAGTAGCCCAGAGACTGAGCTAAGCCCACCGTGGGTGGTTGGGGCTTATTGTTTGTGTTGTTTTGTGTTTTCTGTTAGTACTGAGTTTTGAAATCAGAGCTAGGCAGGTGTTCTGTCACTTAAGTCATGCCCCAGCCTCCTTTTTTTGCTGTTAATTTGTTTTTGTTTTTAATTGTGAAAATATCATACAGAGGGTTACAATTAACATGAGCAAGGTAATGAGTGCATTTCTTATCAAGCATTGTTGCCTCCTCCTTTGTTTCCCCTTCCCATCATTTTCCTTCCCTTCCCATCTCCTCCCTTCCCCCCTCCCCACCCCTTAACTTGTTTTTCAGGTAAGTTCTTGTACTTCTGCCTTGGCCATCCTCAGGTGAAAGTCCCCCTATTCCATTTCCTCAGTAACTGGGAGTACAGGCATGAGTTACTACGCCTAGATAGGGATAAACCTTTTGAAGGGGAGCATCACAGCATCTTGTGATGTATGTCTGTTTATGTTACAGAAGAGACTTGGTAAAGTTAAGTGACTTGCCCAAAGTCACAAAGCTAGTTTTAGAGCTGGGATTTGTTCCCAAAGCCCAGTCTCCCACTACTCAGCTAAACCTCTGGGAGAATGTTAAGGGTTATCAGTTGAACCCTTTCATTTCTAACTGGAGGAGAAAAAAAAAACAGAGGCTACAGGAAGGAAAGGACTTGTCTTAAAAAAACAAAACTGAGCTGTTCATATGTTCTCATGTCTATAGTCCCAGCTCTGCAGGAGGCAGCAATTCTGGTGATTGCAGTTTGAAGCTAACATAGATAGAAAAGCCCAAGAGATACCATCTCCAAAATAACCAGCAAAAAATCTGGGTTGGAGGCATCATTCAAGTGGTAGAATGTCTACCAAGCAAGAAGCCCTGAGTTCAAACCCTAAAGCCAGCAAAATAATCATCATTGTCACTGAGCTTCCTACCTATCATAATGGGCTCAGATGAGGGGTGCAGGTGAGCTGGCCCTGGGTGTGGAGGGGGAAAAGGTGGCACTGAGCAGGAAGCTGGGGGCATCCCAGGCAGAGGTACGGAGGTGTGACAAAGAACCGCTTCTCTGTGCAAATCTGATGAGTGGATATTCAGAGCACTGAACCCTGATCAGGTGAAGGTTCTGGAAGTATTGATGGAGGTGACAAGGAGTGATTTAGAGTGCTACATGGCTACTTCTTGGGACTGGGCCTGACCTGGGTCTTCATTCTCCTCCAGGCCTGGAAGGTGCGGCTCCTTGAGGATTCCAGTTTACACCCCGGGAGACTCTGGGGAGGAGGGGGAAACTGAGTCAGAAGAGTGAAGACAAAAAGGGGTAGGGTAGGCTGGAAAGGAGAGGAGGGGAGAGAGAACTGGCAACAAGAGCTGATGAGGATGGGGGAGGAAGGACCCCTCCCCACCTGCTTCTAAGTCCAAGGCAAGACATCCATGCTCAGAGGCGCCTTCCTGGCTGACCATCCTGATTGCCTAGGACTGCCCTGTTTTAGCACAGCAAGTCCCCACAGTCCCAGGTGGACCAGGAAGGCTGGCCACGGGACCTGTGCCTGCCTTCAACCCCAGCACCGCCCTGCTCCAGTGCAGAAACAACCCTGTCAGGCCACACTTACCCTTCCAGAAGAGTCAAGAACAGACAATCCAGGCTCCACTTGTGCCACTGAAAGCCCTCCTGTATATCAGTCCCTGCGACAAATGACTTCCTGGGCTCTGAGGCCCAGGTACAGAGCTTTATCCAATCTCTCTGGGCTGGCAGATGTGGTGCCTAATTTCCCCCCATGTTAATCCCAAGTGCTCTTTGCGAAGGGGATTAGTGCCTGGGTCCCTGAGCAGCAGGCAAGGGGGCAAATCTGCCAGGCAGCCCTGACACACCATGTGACCCCAGATGCTCTGGGCTGATGGGGTAGGGGGTAGGGATGCTGTTCTCTGCTGAGCCCAGTGTGGACAGGTGACATGGTGGCTGCAGGGTTGGACCCACCCCAGTTCCTCAGTTACTGCTAAGGACCATGGTGTTTGCTTGAATGGACACTGGGTAACCTGGGGTCAGTCCCAGTGCTGTCTCTGCTTTGTGAGCCTGGACCAGCCACTCTCTCTCTTTCTCCTTTCTTTGTTTCCTTCTCTCTTTTTTTTTTTTTTTTGATCATGGGGCTTGAACTCAGGGCATTGTCCCTGAACTCTTCGCTCAAGGCTAGAGCTCTACCACTTTGAGCCACAGTGCCACTTAAGGTTTTCTGGTGGTTAATTGGAGATTAGAATCTCACAGACTTTTCAGGCTGTGAACAGCTATCCTCAGATCTCAGACTCCTGACTAGCTAGAATTACAGGCGTGAGCCACCAGCACTTGGCTTCCTTTAGTTTTTTTTTATGTGAGACTAGTGTTCTACCCTTTTAGCTATAGCTCCACTCCTTGCTATTTGGTGGTTAACTGAAGGTAAGTGTCTCTCAGATCTGTCTTCCCCGGCTTGCTTTGATTCAATCCTCAGATTCCAGCCTCCCAAGTAGCTAGGGTTACAGACACTAGACTCGCCCTGTTTTTTTTTTTGTTTGTTTTGGGTTTTTTTGGGGTCCAGTCGTGGAGCCTGAACTCTGGGCCTAGGCACTATCCCTCAGCTCTTCAGCTCAAGGCTAGCACTCTACCACTTGAGCCACAGCGCTACTTCCGGCTTTTTTCTTTTTGCTTATGTGGTGCTGAGGAATCGAACCCAGGGCCTCATGCATGCAAGGCAAGCGCTCTACCACTGAGCCACCTTCCCAGCCCTCCCTGTTGTTTTTGTGTATAAAATGGGGGTGGTGAGAGCTCGACTAGATAGCAATGGGCTGGGGAGGTAGCTATGTTGTGGACTGCTTGCCTAGCATGTCCAAGGTTCTGTGTTCAATCCCTCGCACCGCACGAAAGCAAACAAAAAGAATGTGATGGCTCATGCCTGTACTTGGGAGGCTGGGGCTAGAGGGTCCATGAGTTCGGAACTAGCATGGGCTACAAAGCAAGACCTTGTCTCATAAGAAAAAGCAGTGGAGAAGGGAGGGAAAAGAAGAAGAGGATAGTGGAAGGGAGAGAGAAAACATTGCAACGTGCTTGTAAAGCAGCAGCCTGGGTGTTAGAACCTTAGGAGGGTGCTTTGAAGCCAAACATCAACATAGAGTCCCTGTGGCAGCCATTAGTTCTTTCTCTGCAGACATTCCAGGATTGCCAATCTTCCATCTTTAGTTGACACAGAAGTTAAAACCTTCCTGCCCCTCACTCAGATCCTTGGGTCAGGCCTCCATAGAGTCCAGGTGTTGCAGTCTGGATGCCACCATTTTCCAAAAGTTCTGTTTTGCTACTGTGTAGTCAAGGTTGAAATGTGGCCGCAGGCCAGGTTCTGTTCTGTCCCAATTTACATGCAAGTCCAGGATGCCCAGCTGTGCATAGGGGAATACTGGTGACTACATGGAGCTATAGCTGCTGAGATGCCAAGCGAGGTGGGGGCTGACAGTCTGTCTCTGAGGTGCTCCTGGGCGATGCCCATGCTGCTCCATGGCCCCTCAGCAACCAAGAGATCTCTTCCTCCTCAGCATCCTTCTCCACAGAGCCTCTCCGGCACTGGTGGTAGGACAAGGCTCAAATTACTCCCTTTCCCTGATACTTCACATACTTGTGGTTGGGTGTGTGGATGGGTGGAGGCAAGCCTTCTGGGCTTTCTGGATCCCCAGGGCGGAAAGTCTGAGAGATTTTTGTCCCAATTTCACCTCACATCGAGTGGCTGAGAGGGGAAATGACTTGCCAAGATCCAAAGCAAGTTTAGCCACGGCAACAGAGCTGGGATCCAGCTCTTTTCCATTGGTGAGCAGGGACGCTTGATTGCTCACAGGGGGCTGAGCAGCTCCCAGGGCACAGACAGGGCTTGCGCCCCACCGCATACTCTAGCCTTTGTTCTGCACAGCAGTCCCACAGAGCAGGTTCCCTTTCACAGCCCAGGAAGCTGATCCTTGGAGGAGCAAGGTCCCCAGGAAGTGGTAAGATGAGAATGAGACTCCAACATGTGAGGTCTCAAAGCTAAGCTAGATACCTGGATCAGGTAATCCACTCCAGAGGCCCACAGGGCGTCCTCTAGCTGCTGCTGTCTGAGAGGTCCTCCTTTATGTTGGCTCTAGCACCAGATGCAAGTTTTGTGTGTGTGTGTGTGTGTGTGTGTGTGTGTGTGTGTGTGTGTGTGTCCTGGCACTTGAACTGAGGGCTTGGGTGCTGTTTCTGAGATTTTTTTTTTCCTCAAGGCTAGCACTCTACTACTTGAGCTGCAGCGCCACTTCTGGCTTTTTTGGATCTCAGCCTCCTGAATAACTAGGATTACAGGCATGAGCCACCAGCACCCAGCCAGATGCAGCTTTTTTTTTTTTTCCCCCTCTTGAGGCTCTGAATTTACTCCGACCAGAATCCATACAGCAAAGTTGCCACAAGGTGGCAGCATGTGTCCACATATAAAATCTCAGCTCTCACCTGCCTCTCCTTGAAAAGCCCCCACTTTCCACTCATGACTCAAGACCATCTCCTATCGCCCTGGGAGTGGGGGGAAATCAACCACCCTCTTTCTGGATGAGCAATCATACT